AAAGAGTACCAGGGAATCCTGAATATGGATGCTTAATTCAGCAACAAACTCCTGATGCCAACCAGACAACGGTCTGGATTCGGTGACATCAGGTGTTCAAAGAGACACAAAAAAATCTCAAGCTACCCCAAAAAGGAAACTCTACTTTTTAACCCAGCCTCGAGTCCAAATCTCCCCATTCCCTTCCTGTAACATTTGTGGACTTTTTATTCGTTTAAACAAGCATCACTGCTGTGCATTTAGATAATTCAATGCTTAAATCCTTAGGCAAATAATTGGTATCACCCAAAACATTCAAATACATCCATTCAGTTAATAAACCGCCCACCACAGCTGATGGGACAGCGGTCTGTGGCCTAGGAAGTTTTAAGAAATACAACGGAGAAAGGAAAGGGAGTATTTTCTTACAGTTGCAACAGTACTGGAATCAAAGACCTGCTTACCCATAGTTAATGTTTTCTTTGATGTCCACCTCCCTATAGTTTTTCAAAAAAGAAAAAGGGATTCATGAACTATTTAGACATCTTCATATGTCACAAGACAGTCCTGAAAGCATTTACTAACATCCCAGCTGCACCACCAGTGGTTAGTTTGCTGCAAGGTGTCAATCTGTGCAATAAGTGTGTGCGCGTGTGAGAAAAAACATCATGTTCTAGAGTTTATAGCAGCAGCAACTTCTTAACTTTTGCCTTTACACACAATGAAGATATTTTAATGCCATGGTCTGGTTATACATAAAGGTGCTTGAATTTTCAGGAATTCCATTTGTTTGATTACTTCTGTTTAACACTGGCTCCATGCAATATTTTTTTTTTTTACTATATTGAAAAGCAGAAAGTCCCATACCTAACACAACAATTCTTACATCTGTGAGGCAGTGGCATAAAACAACTAGAACGCTGATGCTAGTTTTTGTATACAGTCATAAAATAAAGATACTATATGGTCAACCCACAGAACACTGGTGATAACATGCCTAGGTGCAACTGGAAGCCTTCTCAGAGGAAGAGAAGACCAAGATAGAGACCGATTTCTACACAGGAAAAAATTAATATGGGGCAACTGTTTTGTTAACAGTCTGCAGAACTGAGTAGATAGCTTCTTTTTAAGACAGGGAAAAGAACTGCACTCCAGAGCAAATCAAAGACTACTGAACAAAAGCTTAATCTGCTCCTTTTCAGACTTTTTTCTGGCAGTTCATTCATGCTAAAATAGACAGAACCAAGACTTGCAAACACCTTCTCTGTGAGTCAGTAGAAATAATCCATCATCTGTGCATGTAGGAAGAACAGAGGATGCGTAAGCGAGAGAGAAACAAACATTCACCTGTATTCCTGCAGAATACAAGCGCCTCTCTCAATTATTGGTTTTCCATTCCATTTCTGGGCTCAAGAACTACTAAGCAAGTCTCTCAGAGCTGACTTATTCATCCCTGCACCTTCTTCTGCCTGCTCTCAATCGTGACAGGAGTGTGTCTGAGGTCTCCAACATTTTATGTTTTATCTCCTTAAAAAACCAATCACCTAAACACTTCAGCTTAGGGTGTTTGTTTTGGCCCAGGCCATGCCCTGACAGCTAACAGATTTGCTTTCTGACGAGTGTCTTACTAAATAGTTTATCTGGGACTGGTCAAGATGTTTGTTAAGACTAGCTGCTGTGCCAATGACCTTGCAAATAAACACTCAGCTGGTCGCGACAGTAGAACTGCTGCCCTGAAGCTCTTGCATGTTGAGTGTAACGCAACTCAGCAGCCCCAGCTTTAGCATTTTAAAACTCTCATGGGTGGGAATAAGAAAAACAAGAGGAAAAAATGGTTGGAAGAATGCACGGGTGTGAGGTAGGCAATGCACAACTAGATGGTGTCCTTGAGGGACCAGTATGCCAACTACATTGAAGGCAAAAAGGTTTAAAGACGACTGTAAATAAAAGTAGTGTTGAACTGGAGTGAGCGCAGGCGGCTCAAGTTTTTAACCGGTGTACATACTGCTTAATGGAAGTTGTTTCCATTTTCTCAGGTGAGCATTCCTCCAAATTGGAGGAACAAGTTAACTGAAGACTGTCATCCTGCACTGCATTTCCCACCCATCTATTCCACATAGCAAAACCAAGACTGCATCTTACGCTGGATCTCTGACATCTCTGGTGATGCGGTAATTCCAGTCACGGAAAAACTCGTTTTCTTTGTCAAATTCACGCTCGTCTTCTCCAATAGTCACAGTGAACCTCTTCTCCTCAAAGTCAGGCTCCTGTTCTTTTCTCATAGTTGCCTTTTTTAATACCTGCCATAACATAAAAATAAAAACATTGTAAAGACAGAGCATTTCTGAGGCACAGAGAAATTGCAGCGTTAAAAATCCTTCACTTGGGAGAAACCTGCTCTTCAACTAAAGCATCCTTCTTCTGCCCAAGTCTTATGAATGTGCAGGACACTGGACTTTTCTTGACATTGAAAGTGTAATTCACTATTCCATCAGCTCGGAACAGCAGCAGACAGGCAATGAAAGTTTCATACATGCTGACCCCATTTTCTAAAATGATCAGACACATGGATCCTATAGGTGCTAGAGAACCAGGTATTAAAGTAAGGGAAACTGGATCAGCTTAAAAAGCTTTGCTTTGTGGTGGGCTTGACTTCTACACCCCTAACTGGTCAGCACCACAGACTCTCCCTAGCTCATGTTAATATAAAAAACCCAAACCTGGACACTAGCTCCTCTTGACTGTACAATAAAAGTGATACACAACAAGACGCAGTTAATAGGTTGAAAGGTAAAAGGAAGGCTCCTTAAAAAGAGCAAGACGCTACGTGCTCCAAAAAGAGCTCATCCTGCTCTCAATGAAACAGGCCAGCGGATTTTGGAGACGGTCAGCATACTTCCTGAGGATGCCATTTACCTCTTTAGCGTGGCGGAGTCCTCTCTCCCAGGCACTTTCTGTTGGAGGGTCTGGAGGGGGTGGAGGTAAGATCTCATCAACAACTGGCCCTCCCTGTTAGAAAGGTGAGAAGAGGAAGGAGACAGACACTTGACATTAGTTTTAAGTAGCAAACTCATGCTTTGTGAACAGTTACCCTGGAGTACCTCCAGATACTCCAGAGATGTATAAGCTGGGACACACATGGAAAATTATCCCCCTCTACTAGCAACTTCAAGACCACCTTTTAAAAAAAATCACATATCCAACAGAGGTATTGAATTTTGCTAAAGCACTAGCTCTAATAAAATCTTCACTTCTCCTAGAGCAGGAGACAAAAGCTATGTGCAGAAGCCATAAATTCACAGAAAAGATGTCCATACCCAAGGGTTGGCTGGCATCAGTGGGTGAGGGCCGATCGGAGGAGCACCATTTGGGGAGAAGGGCTCAGGCTTGGAGATCAAGGAGTAGTTTCCTTTGTCATTCACGCCAGGGTGAATAAATCGACAGTTCATGCCCCAGGTACAGTGACCTGTGGAAATACAGTTCTGTTAGACCCCTGTATGCCTACAGCAAGCGTTTGTTCAGCCCCACAACCATTTAAAAACCATCAAGGAATAATGCTGTTTGACATGAGACACTTCTCTCTGACTTTGTTGAGATTTACCTGTTTTCATACACATGGAAAGACACTTGCCACCCCCCACCTTCCCTGGGAGGACAAATAGATCCAGTCACAGACGGATGAACGTACAAGAACCTTATTACGGTGGGGAGAAGGGAGGGATGGATGCATACACACCATTAAGCAAATGCAGTAATAAACCTATGAGCCCTTCAAGTCTTACTAATGACAAACACCTCAAGTTAGGAGCTTTACCTTTTACAGAAAACAACGAACGTAACCTGACAGCAAAGAAAGCATCACAGTACATTCAAAACAAACAGCTCCCTGGTGAGGCACAAAGCACATCAAAGCTCTTCTCTCCAGCTGACTCCGCAGGCTTGCCAGCACAAAGCAGGAAAGGAGACCGCTACGGAGGGCAGCAGATGAATCCGAAGCCGCTCATCAGCTTCAGGTACCACCCCCAAAGAGATGGTAACACTCAGGGGTCCCTAACAGGACACAGTGCTAATTCCCAACTCTATTTTAGCTTGCCTTAGAAACAAAAACTTTTTTTTTTTTTTCTTCCGGCAATCCACTCAATGTCCGGCAACAGACATTTTGCAGATTTCCCAGCAGACACCTGCATCACAAACTCATCGCTGGTTCTGCGCTAGCTCAGGCATTAGCACGTTGACTTTAGAGGCAACAGAGCAGTTAACACTGCTGTGGCCCAAGGAGGAACCCCCGATCTCGGCTGGCAGGGCAACGTGACAGAAATTCACACTGCACCCGGGTCCCTGGAAATGCTCCTCAGCGGTCCCAGACTAACCACGAGCTGGTGTTCTCTCTCAGAGGTAACATTGGATGCTTTTGTACAGTCAAACATCACGAGAGCACGAATCCCTCTGCGCAGCAGCTCACGGAGCAACGCAGCCTTTTCTCAATGCCTGAGCACCGGGTGTAGGGGCTGCCAGACGCCTGTGCAAACACTTACTGTTCCTACTGAAGCGTCAAGGGGAATGATTACCCCGACAAGTAAGGGGCCCTGCTACATATGTCAAGGTGGCTATACATCAAGCAACTTCACTGGAAGGCTTTGCGAGCTAGTCGTTCATGCCACTGGACAGATGCAGCCACGCGAGCGCTCCTCAGACACAGCAAGGACAAAAATCTGAATGTCTTCAAGGTCCCACGTGAGCAGCGCTTCATCTCCCTGGTGGCAATAGTGGCAATAAAGCCTTTAAGTGGCAAGCAAGAGTGGATGTCAACCTTATCTGAACCCACGCCAAATCAAAGAAAAACAACTGTGGCAGGAGAACCTGCAGCCTGAACTTTGACTCAGGCAAATATTTCCATGCTGCACGGAGGCGTACGTCACGCTAAGGATTCAGGAACAAACAGCTCCCCTTGCCGAGGAACTTCCCGGTTCCACCATCACCACCAACGCGTTCGTGTCTCGGCACAGGCAGAAAATTCGATACCGGAAGACATTCAGGAAGCCAAGTACATGATATCTGATGATCACATCTCCGGAAACCCCCTAAGCAGTTCCCTACATTGCATACGCCACTGACGCAAGGAATAAAAGACTCCACCCTGTTCTCCACCCTTCTTTTAATTTCAGATTTTCATAAATTGTCTTAAGGGTGATCGTAAATAAAACCAAGTAAATGAGCAAACATTAAGTGAGATGAAGTTAGAGGAAGCTGAAGAGAGCTATAATCAATTTAAATAAGAAAACTTTTATAAAACCTACTCTTGACACTAAAAAAAATTGCAGGATAGTCTAAGATGGCTGTTGTGCAGTCGCACAAACTTTGGGGAATGTCCTAGTAAGAAGAATTTAAAAAAAAAAAAAAAAAGAGAAATACAATTGGCTAGATCCAAAAGTTTCAAGTCTTAGGTCTCATTCACAGTAAGAAATACGTTTTATGATTTCCTACCCCCATTCCTTCCAGCTGAGAGTGACAAACCCAATCACATTTCAGAAATGTGGTATCTGATACAGTGTGGAGCAACCTTCTGGCTTGAGGAAAAAGCTTCTATTTACATGAGGATTATTTTTTTGTGGCCGATCGTTTCCTCAGCCCAGTGGAAGTACCGTCTGCCGGCACGTCTCACCCTGTCAGGTCCAACGTCACCCCTCGAGCACACCATCTCGCTGGGGTTTCTGGGTTGCTTGCGAAAACAGCTACAGGTGAGCTGCCAACACCTGACAGCACTGCGCAGGCAACGCAGGAACCTGATCAACAGATGCATCTGCAGGGGCTGCAGCAGCTCAGCGGATGTCAGCATGATGTCACGTCAGTATTTCTTACCAGGAAACAGTATTTCTAGCCCTATTTTCAATTTTAAAATTTCATCAAATGTCCTTTAATAATCAGGGAAGTAAGATGGATATGGGACTGCAAGAAATTATGTTTTGGCGAGGAATGAGTTTGATAAGAAATAACGAGGATTTGCCATTTTTGTTTTCCACGGAATAACCTCTAAGCAACAGCTGATTGTTAAATCAGCCCAAGCAGTTTTTATTCCATGCTGTTTTAAAAACACTAGCAAGTTTTCCTTTATTTGCTTCTACCAGGCTCACCACACTTAGGGCAAAATAATTTTTGCATGTTGGCTCTACGTAAACTCAGCATCTGGCCACCAAGGAACAGAAAGGTGATACTGAGGATGCCTGGGGCAGAGTTTATCATGCAGAGAGCAGCTTAATAGGTGCAAAACCGATCAAGAAAAATGACAGCATCTTTGGTTTGCTTCCACCATTAGAGCATATCATTACCTTTCATGAAGAATCGGCAGGTGGGACGTGGCCTCACTTTTCTGTCGCTGGGGTCTTTAACTTCTCCTTCTTCTAAGTCATCATCCTGGAACAGACAGACAAGCTGACATTTCATGTGGTGCATTTTCTGCAGCGACTTGACATTTCACAATATGGTCAAATATCAGTCACTGAAAACACACCCTGGAGCAAAACACAAGAGAAAAGCAATATAAAATTACAATAAATACCCCTCAGCATCTTCGCAATGTACTGCTACAAACAGGAAGATCAACTTCAGTGTTTCAAAGGTGACTGCAAAACCCTTCAGGCGTTATGGACATCTTGGGGCCAAACCACAGACCAAGGTTTCAAGCTGCATCATTTTACCTGATAAACGCTTAAAGGCTCAAAATCAACAGCACAGTGGATTAAGCTCTTATACCTCAGCTGGACGAGGCTGGCTGTGCGCTTTTAGCTGGCAGTACGTGCAAGGCAGAGGCAGCTTCACACTCGTTCGAGGCAAATGAGCTAAATCGTGTTACCTTTCCTTCCCGCAGGCTAACAGCGTGCGCACTGACAGCTACCATGGCTCCGCTGGCGTGGGGAATACCACTGCCCTCCGGAGCATTTAAACTGGACTGTCCCCTGCTCGGCACTCACGTCATCCCTCTTCAGCTCAAGCCAATTTCTTCTGTTCATTGATTTAAAATACCTAGCGGTATTCCTGCATCAATGCAATAACCCGATACAGACATCACACACCTATACATCAAGTTGTGAAGGATGACTGCTATTACAATAACTGATTATAAAATGCTTCGCCACAACGCTGAGCGACAATCTCGCACGCAAGCTTTTCAGGAAAAAAGTCATCCATATTTCTTCCAGTCCTCTCTGGCAACAACTTGACACCTTCCCTTCTACTCCTCAGCTCCACACAGGAGCTGTGAAGCAGCTCTAACAAAACTCGACGTTATCCCCAGGCACAGCAGCCCCAAGAAGAAATTCTGGGAGATGGAGGTTGCTTCAAAGATTAAGAACCACAGGGGACAAGCGCGAAATAACAGTCATGAAACACCTCCGGAAGAGGTGTTGAAGTTGTTGAAACTTTAAAGAACAAGTTGTTGAAACTTTAAAGTACCAGCCTTTGCCTTTGTTCTCCGGGGGGGGGGGGGAAGGCCTCCACTGGCTTCATTAAGCTGCATCTGAAAAGTCAAAAGGAGCTAAAAAGAGGTGGCAATGCAGAAGGCAAAGGCATACATGACCAGAGAGTTGTCAGAGGTATCTGGCAAGGAAATCAGTCATTTATCCTAAAGGGCACCCTGGCCTTCCCTCGCTCTGCCTCCATTCCGCCGCCACAGAAGTTTTCAGCATATGAAACGCATCTGAAGAGGGAGCATCTGGTGGAGGCTTTCCCTTTGCACGGCAATGGCAGCAACTCTGTGGCAGCGACAGCAGTTGTCTACATGGAAAAGATTAAGAAAGTTATGTACTTTGATCACTTTAGCAGGGAAAGGAGGAAAAACCATCGCTCGGCTGTGGATAAACAAAGGATGTACAGAGATGGGTTAACAGCCTCTGCTGCTGCATTCCTCTGAGGGCAATACAAGGAGAGCTCTCCTGAACAAGAGCAGATTTTAAAGACTACACATATATATTCAAATTAAAATTTGCATTAATATTTCCCCCCCCCTCCAAGACAGAACTCTGAAAGCAGAATGAAACGCAGAGATATAACAGTTTCCCCCAAAGCTGGGGATGGCATTCAGCGACGCATGAATGGTATAACCAGCTCAACTCTGCTTCTTTCAAAAGAACTGTGTGAAGTCTTTGCAAATGCTGTACTTGAACAAAAGGGAAAGTATTTATTTCTGTGAGGTCTCCTTGGAATCAGGCAGCTGGGAACCCTGTTATGAGTTAATGTATGAAAACCAGAGTACAGATTCATCTTGTGCTTTGTAAGGAGTGCGCTCCCAAGAATGCCTTAGACTCTAAAGGAAAGCATTCATATTTTAATCAAGAAGCAGGCATGGAGTCAGGACTCCAGGAATTTTTTTTTCCCCCTGCCTGGACTCTCCCACAACACACTGAAATTCCTTCTAACTGAATCAGAAATACACAAAAATTTAGGAAAATACATATGTGTTTAACAAAACCACCTGCCAGAATGGGCACAAAAAAGAAAAATAGCATCACCTTTTTTTAAGCAACAGAACTTGTCAAAGCACCGTTAGAGTGAAAAAAGCATTAGAGTAAAAAATACATAATATACCAGTCTTCAATAAAAAGGGAGGAGGGTCTCTCCAGCAAGGCTCTGTGAGCTTATAGAATCACAGAATCGTTTAGGTTGGAAACGACTGATGACCTTTCAGATCATCAAGTCCAACCATTAAGCTTCCTGAGCGCGTGGCCAGGTCAGCTGCACCGCAACGGGGACTGGACAGCAGTGCCATCTCCCGAGCCTGAACCCTCCCCTCCTTGGCTGAGAAGCCCCACCAGTGACCCCATCCACAGCCCATTGCTTCCTTGCCTGGTCACCACGATATTCTCACAGCACTGCCCCGACCCAGCTGCGCGGGAGCACTTTTGGCTCCGATAGCCAGGAGCAGAACCAGCCAGGTGCTCTGGACCAGCGACTTCTCCTTGGAATACTTTGCATTCCCACTATCTGGATTCAAGTAAGGTGTCCACCAGACCAGGAACCCACAGGAGGGTTTCTACTCTAACTGCTCAAATCGCTTTGTCCTGTTTTCTTCTGCCTGCAAGAGGGAAACTGGTATTAAGCTGTATTAAATACAACTGCTGTACTCCTACCTCAAGACAAACACGGATAAAGAGTGCTATTTGCCCTAATCATCAATGCAATCAAAACCAGTTTTTGATTTTTCTAAATAGCTGCGTTTGTGAATCAGTAGCTACTGGGACTGCACATCCTTGAACACACCACCCAAACCACGCGCAGGGGCTGCCTGGTCAGGCACTTTCCAGAAAGCTCAGCACCCTCCGTTCCTCTTCCATGCATCCAGACACCACCAGAGCCCAACAAACAGCTCAGGGCCACGGGCTTCCCACACACACCTGATGCCTCAAGCACACGGCAGCCACTCTACAGCACCAGCCTCTCAACCTAAACTGACGAGACAGCTTCTGAACGCCTAATCCATGGCTAAGTAATTTGCTGTCAGTATCACTCAGAAGTCCTCTGAGAGCTGAGGTAGAACAGTTTCTTCAAGCACAGGAGCCTTTCCATATTCAACAGGAACAAAGCTTACTTGTGACGGCTCTGACGATATTCGGCACAAAGTTTTTCTACAGTACGTGGCCCCAGACATCCTAGCCACTGAGTTCAGGACTTAGTACACAGTAACGTTCTTACCTCCAAAGAAAAAGCGTTACTTGCACACTGGGGACACAGCTAACAGATATTCGTGTCAAAGAAGAAAGAAGGCATGGCAGTCTAATAGCCAAACAGTTCTGAAACGCAAGGATAGGTCTCTCCGTGCAGGACTTTGCCCACCTCGGACCAGCTCCTACTTACATCAATTTCTCCATCATCAATTTCTCCATCATCATCTTCTTTCTTCTTCTCCTTGAGGGGATCCTGGCTGTCTTTTTCATCATCACTTTTGCTGCTGGATTTTTTCTCATCTTCATGGGCATCGTCTCCTTTCTCCTCTTCCTCATCATCCTCACCAGCAGCTTTCTCGCCATCCTCCTCTGCAGCAGCAGCACTTGGTTCCTCAGGAACTTCCTCATCATAGTCCAACTCATGCTCATCTAGTTCACGGGTGACAGAGGACGCTTCATCACCAAGGTCATTTGTCCGGTCTTCCTCCTCTCCTTTGCGAGGCAGAGGGCTCTTCAGCTCCCCGCTTTGCTCATTGTTGTCAGACTCCTGTGACTTGGTTTCGCTTAAGCGGTCCTCTTCATCTGAGTGGTTCTCCTCTTCACCATGACTCAGTCCCCTGGCTGCCGCCTCCTCCTCCTCTCCCAGGACGCTGCCTTGCCCACCCTCTCCATCAAGTTCCCGCTCTGAACCACTCTCCTTCAGGACTTCGTCATCGGAAAGCTGCTGGTCCTCTTCACCAGGAGAGCAGGGGTTTCGCTCAGGGCTGTCGGAAACGTCCATCAGTACCTAATAGTCTGCAGAGGGTAGAAAAAAAACCACTTGTTATGGGGAAACAAGCTGGGAAATCAAAAAAGGCTCACCGTGCAGCATTTGTACTCTCGTATTTTACCTCCTAAAGAAGAAAAGGTTGCTTGAATTCACGAACGTGCTTTATCATAGTACCTTCAAGAAGAAAATACAGAGTTTAAACTGCATAAAGAACCGAGTCCAATATTGTCCCAGACTAGATAAAAGAGTGCTACGCTCCACATACGACGGAGCTGGAGGTTGGAATTTCATCTGCAAGCTCTAATAGGTGAGGCCGCACGAGCACTCCCACCAAATCACCTTAGGTCAGAAATCCCAAGGTAGCCTCCTCACCCCAGGCACAATCAGCAGTGGCATTTCTTCTGTGAACAAGCGAGGGAGTTTCAGACCATAGGACCAGGTTTGCAGGTGTATTTTGTAACCAGAAACACGTGGCACTGTAAATTGCACGGATTCCTAAAGAAGCACAGGAGCACAACTTACAGTTGTTCTGGAAAAACAGCCTATATATTTACAGCACTTGTTACACTGCATCCAGAACAGATATGAAAGCAAGGACAGTATGTGTTCATGAAAAGTCTTGGATTTTGATTCAGGTTTAATTTAGACAGTGCACGTATTGCCATCTAATCTCCACCCGCTTCATACAGTAAAGATTCAAAATTCCTTCAAAGAAGCAGATCAACTTCCTAACTGTCTGCATCACGCACTTTTGCTAGAAGCTCGGTATGAACATGTGCTTGGTATGAATACGTTAAAAATTAGATGTCTGCTTAGAATAAGCACAATAAATGCAACAGAAAGGGACAAGATGTAAAGCAGGAAAAAAACCCAACCTATACATCTATTTATTTAACTCCAGAAAACAAAAAACCCATGAATTATAGCAGAACTGTGACCCAAGGAACTGGTTGAGCTGTCTCTTACTAGGAAGATTACTGGTTCGCATCTAGCCAAAAGCTCTTGGTGATTAAAAACTCTTACCCTTCGGCTGTGGTCTCTTGCTGCAGCATGTCCTTAGCCCTATAAACAACGACTGCAACTCCTTCCTTGCCCCCCTCAGCCATAACCAACGGTGCTCGGCTGCCTCGGAAGAACCCAGGCTGAGAAAGGTGTCTCGGCAGGTTTTCCAGCACCGAGGCAGCCAACGCTCAGAGAGAGAAAAGCACCCACTGTAGCTCTCTGGTTGTACCAGCGGAAGAGTTCAACAGAGGCATTGAGACCTCTGAAGGTGGCACCTTTCCAGAGGACTAAATTCACCGTTTGAGTATACGCCACCTCCTCCTCCTCCACACCCAAAGGTCTGTACAGGAACAAGCTTGGGCAGCCCTCAGACAGAAATGAAAAGCTAAAGACAAACCCAAGGCTTACAGAAGCACATTTAAGGCTAAAGAAAAGCCATGGGGTTACAAATCAACAGGATTTCTTCACCTTATCGCGTTTTACTTCAGCTGCTCCTAGCTACAACCTCCCCACAAGCACATTCACTGCTGGTGCAAAAAAACATGGCATAAATTACCAGATTTTTACCTGTTACCTATAAGACCTTTGGAACAGAAATGCTACAAAACCAAGACTCTGGTAACTCCTTTAAACACATCCAGCAATCCTTCCTGAAATAAAAGTTACTACCACTAGGCAGCTCTGCACTACTTAACCTTTTCCTGACCTACCCCATCACTTTTCTCTGCTACGCTCTTCTGACTGGTTCTGCATAGTAAAGGTTCTTATTTACTACAGGTTATTATTAACCATCGAAGAGCAAGAACAGACAGGCAGAAGGCACACCAAGCCACAGCATCCAAACAGACTGCCACGCGCTGTAAACTCAACCAAAGTGAACCCAAGCCTTCTCAGCATCCAAAACCCAAAACATTTTGGTAATGACAGAACTGGGGATCTCAGTGCTGAAATAGGGCAGGAGGGTAAGCGCGGAGAACCGGCAGCGTCTCTTCCGTGTGTTAAGAGCCCATGCCTGGAAATCAGGAAGGCACGACAACTTGGTTACCCGTGCTACTCATCTGCTCCTTCATAAACTTTCCAGGACCAGGGCTGTTGTATTTGTGTCTCGTACGCTGCCAGATGTACTGTCATCGCCGAGATAGCATCTCTTGCCTTCACTGTAGTGAAGGCATTATTAGCTGGTATTTGCAGCAAACTCTCGAGATGAAAGTCACACTCAAGAAAACGCTGCTCGTTATACTCTGGGAGGCTTGCAGAGAAGGAGCTAAGAACATTTCTCAAAAATACAAAAGGAAAAGCACTCCCAGAAGCAGTACAAGTCGATATGTCAGTACCCGGCAACCTTGCTCTACTTCATGCCTCCAAAGCCCTGCGCAAACATCAGCTAATTGATAAACGCGAGGATGATTCTAAACACTCGGGCAGCAGCAAAGTCACATTTTGAGCTTCCTACCGGCTACTCTTTGCTTCTCCACACATTTGAAGAAGTTGGCTCTTGCTCACAACCAAAGTTGTGATTTTACTGAAAAGTTAAAAGCCAGATTAAAAGACAGCAATTGCCTCCTGGTGATAGCGGCCCTGGGCAATTAAATAGGATGTAATCGGAAACAAATTATATTCTTACTGAGTATACAAAGGTTGATGCTGAGTTCATAAATGCTTGCACAAATTGTTACTGGCTTTAAGAGCAATTTTACGGCAGCAATTTTAATTGCCTAAGTGCCTGAGAAGTTACGCTTTACGTGCATGGAGAACAACTTAGCGTATTACATCTGAAAGGTCAGCCTTAAGAGGCCAGTAGAAATACAAAAACTGTCAAGTGCAGATGTATTCAGGAAATTTGTTTTCTGATTTCTTGCAAATAAGGAGCACCAAAGAAAAAGCATTTAAGTGAACGAGATGTCTTTCCCCATTCGACATTGAGACCTTTGGAGGGATGGGGGAAAACAAATATGAATGCATTCTCACCACCAGCTAAGGTGATATGTAGAAAACATTCACCTCCACCAGCAGCTATTAAAGCTATTATAAAAATCCAGTGCGCCCGTCAGTTACAATAATTTCCTATTAACTTCCATCGGCAGAAATGATAAGAAACATAATAAATGACAGCCCAATTGAGAAGAGTTCACGAAATCCAGGCAGTCTGGCTTCGGTGCGCACTTCCCTGGATTCAAGAAACAGCAAGTTCCCCTTTGGCAACGGGCTTTACGTCCTCCCCGGTGCCTCTATCCGCGCAGGCAGCGAAGCAATGCGCAGAAGGCACTTGGAGCTCCTACGCTGCCTCTTACGCCGAATTATTTCGGTGAGAGCCACAGTTCAGCTAGTCTCCAAGAGCTGATGCTCCAAGTTCACCGGCAGAGAAGAAAAGATACCCCAAAACCTAATGAACCAGATTTTTCCTTCAATCTTATGTGCAACAGCACAGAAATGCCCCAAAGCAAACCCATGATATGCAAAGGTAAAATCAGAAGTGGGAAAAAAAAAAACTTAGGGAGATGGAAATGAAAACTGTCAGATTAATGACGGAACGGGACTAGGTAGCATTTCTGCTGCAGGATGGCAAGAGGCTGCTCTAGCAGCCATCCAAAAGTCAGGCTAGCCTCTCGCTCTCTGCCACAGCAACTCCTCCTGCAACAGGGGAGACTGAGCGTCGACAACGGGTCCTCCAGCCATTCCCTTGCCCTGGGTAGCCCAAAGGCTCTGAGCCCAGGAGAAAAAGCCAGGGAAGAAGGTACAGCGTTCCAGCAACAAGCTTATGGGCAACAGCAACGTCAGAGAAGCACAGTCTGAGATGGGAGAATCCCTCATCACTGACTGACCCAGGCAGTACGACTTGCAGTCGCCCGCTTGTAGAAAAAAAAAGAAATAATTGAATGTTATGAAAGGCAAGAGTACCGTAGCAAGGATTTTGTGAAGCACTAGAGTACTTGCTCTAGCCACTGAAGCTTCCTTTCAAGCTCCAATGGATTTATTCTTTGCACGGCAGCCAGTTTAACTCCAGTTTAAAGCACGTGTCCCAAGCACCATCTCAGAATAATCTGCAAATCACAGTTTATCCCAAATCTCTGGAATCGTGCAAGGGTTTTTTTCTGAGGTGGTTTTTTGTTTATTTGGGGTTTTTTTTTGCTTTTCACTCTCCTTTAGTTATACATACAGGTGAATACCAGAAAAATGTAAGAAAAATGACTACATGGAAGTATTTCAAATTGAGCAATACTGACATAAGTGGTAGAGCAGAAATGCACAGGTTTCATCCCTCATCATAAGCTTGGAATTTTTGTGCCTTAAAACCAAGCCAGTTTCCTACTGTCTTCAAAACCAGTTATAAAAGCAAAAAATTAACCTTCTAACCTACAGATAAGACTGTTTGACTTTTAGCTTAGGATGATGGGGCAAGAACCAGGTGTAGAATAACGCTTCTCATTCGGCGGTGTTTTATCTTCAGAGGTATCTTCAAAATTACAGGTGGTTCAGGCAAAGCCAACTTTGCTCAAAGCTGCGCAACCCCTTCTATTACAAAACTGGCTTCATTTGCTCAAAGTGTGTCAAATTTTCATTTTCTGCATGTCTGAAGCAGACTAGTTCAGAACAGGTCACTAAGCCTTTCAGGCGAGGTTTACAAAACCCTCACTTTGCCAGGCTAAACAAGTTGGTACAGCCCTTCCATCGAGAGGCTTTGGAGCAAATGCTCCAAAGTGGGGTGCACTTGCAGCCAAAATCATAGAATCATAGAATCATTTAGGTTGGAAAAGCCCTTTAAGATCATCCAGTCCAACCATTAACCTACACTACCAAGTCCACACTAAACCAATCAAGGGTAGACCAGACTGAACCATGTCCCCAAGTGCCACCTCTGCCCGTTTTTTGAACCCCTCCAGGGATGGGGACTCCACCACCTCTCTGGGCAGCCTGTTCCAATGCTTGACCACCCTTTCCATGAAGAAATTTTTCCCAATATCCAATCTAAACCTCCCCTGGCGCAGCTTGAGCCCATTTCCTCTCGTCCT